ACAAAAAAAAAAAAAAAAAAAATGTAGTGGTGTTTAGCAAGCTTGTCTGTTGAAGGACAAACGCCTTGCTCACCAAACAAGGATGCACACTTGGGAGATTTGTAGGTGGTCAAGTCAGATCTAGAGACAGCAACTTTCAGTAATGAAATCACACCCCAAGAAGGGAGGGGTTGGGCCAGCCATTTAGCTCAGTGGTGCCACCATCTACCTTGAAAGCAAAAGGTCCCAAGTTCAACCCCCGGTACCAAAACAATAAAAATAAAAAAATAAATGAAGGTGGGGGGGGACAGAGGCAGAGATGGCAAGAGCAATGAGTTGAGGGCTGGTTTTTCTTTTGATTTCCCGGATTTGGGGGAATTGGTCAGGGCTGATCATCAATAGTCCTTTCCCCAAACTGTGAGTCTCCATCTTTGTGTCAGGAGAGGTGGTTTTAGAACTCATGTGGATTTGGTCAGAGATAGCATGGTAGGTAAAGCCCATCTAGTGAATTAAAACCACAGTATAAATGCATACGAATAAAGCCTAATCGGGCTGTCAGGGTGACCACCGTTTAAATCGGAGCCTGTGACTCTTGAACTGTGTAGAAATGAAAGGTGTACGACTGACCGGAACAGGGAGTGCACACAGTGGGTTTGATGCGCTCATCCCAGGGAGTCTGCAGACCAGAAACTCAGGAAACCTAGACCGCGCCCTTTCTTAGAATTTTCTTCCGTGTTCCTGCTGCCATTTCCCAACGTCCACCTCCTGTCTAACCACCTCCTCTATCAATGCCACTGCGCTACGTCCCCAAACACATGAAGGCATTGTTGTGCACCAATAAACCTTTAATCACAAAAACATAAAACAGGATTTGCATGCGAATCTGTATTTTCCCAAATTTTATTCCTTAAAACTTTTATTCTAGAATGATTTGCCTAATCCCTGGCCCTGCCTGAAGACATCTTAAAGGGCAGAGTAATTAGTATAGCTTGGCTCTGTCATGCCCCAGAATGGTCCAAGTACGGAAGGTTTGGTCCCCAGCCCAGTGCTATTGGAAGGTGGTGGAATCTTTGAGAGGTGGGAGCTCCTTGGGGCCTACAGGGCACTTGGGGGCTGCCCAACATGGGATTTGGGGACCCTGGTTTTTCGTGTCTTTCTCTGTCACTTCCTGTCTGTGATGTGAGTCGTAATGCACTGCTGTTCTCCCCGGCTGTGATGAACCACACAAGCCCAGAGCAATGGGGACAGCGGGTGATGGATTAGAACCCCAAAATCGTGAGGCAGCATAAATCTTTTCTAAGTTTTTATTACTTGAAGCAGTGACTCAAGCCTTGGAAAACACAGCAATGTTTCCTTCCTATTTTATTCTCTATAAGAATATTTCTAAAAGAACAGATAGAAAATAAACCCTGGGGGCTATAGTTAGGAACAATGAATTGTGTAGGTAGAAATACACAATCGCTAGAAGGGAGGTTTTTGAATGCTTTTTCCAGAATGAAATGATAAATGTATAAGGTGTAGATGTGCTGATCACCCTGACTTGATCATTAAATAATGCAAAGTACATCAAAATGAAACAATATACCTCATAAAGATGTGTAATTCTCAAAGGTTAACTAAATATTAAAAAAATAAATATAGAACTTGGTTACAGAGAGAGGGTGGGGAAAGAAATGCAGAAGGAAATACAAAGCAAGGAAAGGAAAAAGGAGAAAGATATTCCTGGGAAAAACTTGTTCTCTAGAGTTTATCATTTTTTTCTACCAGACCTATCAATAACATCAAATCAGAAAACATGTCAGACACTGTCAAATTTGTTCTCCTGGGATTGTCAGATGATCCAGACCTGCAGCCCATCCTCTTAGGACTGTTCCTGTCCATGTACCTGGTCACAGTGCTCGGGAACCTGCTCATCATCCTGGCCATCAGCTCTGACTCCCACCTCCACACCCCCATGTACTTCTTCCTCTCCAACCTGTCCTTGGCTGACATCTGTTTCATCTCCACCACGGTCCCGAGGATGATTGTGGGCCTCTCAACTCACAGCAGGGTCATCTCCTATGTGGGCTGCCTGACACAGATGTGTGTTTTCATCAGTTTTGTTTGTATGGATGACTTGCTACTGACCGTGATGGCCTATGACCGCTATGTGGCCATCTGCTACCCTTTGAGGTACAGTGTCATCATGAACCCCAATCTTTGCTGGCTGCTGGTTCTGCTTTCCTTCCTCATCAGTGTCCTAGATGCCTTGCTCCACACCTCCATGGCACTGCGGCTGTCATTCTGCGCAAGCCTGGAGATTCCCCACTTTTTCTGTGAACTGGATCATCTTCTCAAGCTTGCCTGTTCTGATGTCCTCATCAATGACATCCTGGTGTACTTGCTGACAGGTGTGTTGGGTGCTGTTCCTCTCTCAGGGATAATCTTCTCTTACACTCAGATTGTCTCCTCCGTCCTGAAAATTCCATCAGCAGGTGGAAAGTACAAAGCCTTCTCCGTTTGTGGGTCTCATCTAGTCGTCACTTCCCTGTTCTATGGTACAGGTTTGGGGGTGTACGTCAGTTCTACAGCTGCTCAGTCCTCCAGGGAGAGTGCAGTCGCCTCAGTGCTGTACACGGTGGTGACCCCCATGATGAGCCCCTTCATCTACAGCCTGAGGAACAAGGATATGCTGAGGGCCCTGGGGAAACTCATCCCTAGAATAACATCTTTCCTTTCATATGTCGGATGCTTTTAGAACTGGAACAAGTCAGAGAAATAGAAAATAAATGATTTCCAAAGACTCACCAACGCCTTTGAATGTCACCGAGCAGAGACCAAATGATAAAGGATGAGAATTGTGAAATCAGACCACTTGGGTTAGATTCTACCTGTGCTATGCCGTAGCTATGTGTTATGGTGTAGATCTAACGTGTCCCCGGAAAGGCCATGTATTCCGAGGTTGGCCTCTTGGAGGGTGAGGGGATCGTGGAGTGCTGTACTCAGTAGTGGATTACTGAACAGTTTAGGACTGCATGTGCTGGTAGAAAGTTGGGTCTGGTGGAAGAGGCCGTTCCCTGGAGGTCGGACCTGGAAGGGTGCATCACCCCAGTTCCTCCCTTTCCTCCCTGTTTCTTGGCCACCACAATGTGAGCAGACCCTTTGTCAGACCCTGCTACCTCGCCCTTCCTGCCCTGGAACCTGCCGACTATGGACTGAGTCCTCTATAAGCTGTAAGCCAAAATGAGCCTGTCCTTAAAGGTGTGGGTGTGGGATATTCTGCCCAGTGATGGGGAAATGTCTGAGGCCCTGTAAGTTCTTTGACAGTTTTCTTCAACTGGCTGAGTTCGCTTGCTCAGCGGTAAAGGCGGGTTAAGTAGATGTAGCTCACATTTAGTCTTGCACTGGGGAATGACATTTTCGTCAGGATGCACTGGAATATAGGAAGGTGGGTGGGCTCCTCAGTGATAACGGAGCTAAGAACTTTGTCACCTAGTGATGCTGGTAGCCATGGCAATGCACAGTGCCATACTTGTGGAGATGGTGGAATAAACAAATCTACACTGTCTGTGTAAACGTGGGCTGTTATGCACAATATCTGATACTTGGTAGTACACAACTGTGTTCCTGGTTGGTGTGTTTACTGCACATTGTTGCTGTTTCACCATGTGATCTTGTTTATAAGAAGTTTACTGTGCACCACAATGCAGTGTCACCTGGTAACAGCCTCATGTATCTGGTGTTTAGCACACACCTGCTGCGTTATTTTCTCTGTCTATGACTTAATGTTTTGTTTATTATGATCCCAAGAGTCATAAACTGTCTGTCTGTCTGTCTATCTATGTATCTATCTATCTGCTACAAAGTATCACTATGTAGTTCCACTTATCCTTGAATTCAATATGTTGCCCAGACTGGCCTACAAAGTGCAGCGATCCTCCTGCCTCAGCCTTTGGAGCGCGGGGATTCCAGGGATGTGCCACCACATGTGGCTGTACACGACATACATTTAACTGTAACACTGTAAATTTATTTTTACCTAAAATTTCTTTTATCACTTTTGTCTTTCACAGTTAAGGCTTTGATAGTTCTCAGTGTTATTTGAATTTGCTGTGATCCACTTCGCATTATTTTTCCACTTGGATAAACAGTAATTTCCTTACTGAATGGTGTTATCCTTTCTGGGAAAGGCCAAATGTATTCAATGCTTCCTTCTTAAACCACATTTTGTAGGTGAGGATAGAATTGATACTAATTTCCTCTGCAATGCAGTAACATTGTTTTAACTGCTGTATTTTATAATATGGTAATCTCAATATTTCATAATGCAAGAAATCCAAGTTTTAATTTTCTGTCAAGTCAAATATTCTTTGGCATTTTTTCATATATATTCCAACCAACAATGGAGAAGCGTTCCTTTCTCCCCACAACCCCACCAGCACTTGTTATTGGTTGATTTCTTTTTTTGTTTGTTCTTTGTTTTTTATTTTTGGGGTTTTTTTTTATTATTGTTGTTGTTTTGTTTTTGAGATAGGGTCTCACTATGTAGTCAAAACTGCCCTGGAACTCACTGGTTGGAACTCTCCTAGGTTGGTCTCCAACTCACAGTGATCCTCCTGCCTCAGCCTTCTGAGTGCTGGGATTACAGGCGTGCGCCACCATGCCCAGCTTGATTTCTTCATAGTAGCCATTCTTATTGGGGTGAGATGGTGTGTTGTTTTCATCTGCATCTCTCGAAGGACCAGTGATGTTGAACATTTTTCATATATTTATTTGCTGCTTTCACTTCTTTTTTTGAGAAATGTCTATTCATTTCCAATGCCCGTTTTTGAAATGGGTCTTTATATTTGTGGGACCTGATTTTTTTGAGTTCTTTATATATATTATAGATAGTAGACCTTGTCTGAGGAGTAGCTGGTAAAATTTCTTCCCACATTGTGGGTTGTCTCTTAGTTCTGCTTGTGATTACTCTGGCAGTGCAGAAACTTTTTAAAAATAGGATATCCCAGTTGTTGATTCTTTATGCTAGTTCCCATGCTAATGACGATTTTTTCTTAAAGTCTTTTCCTATGCCGTTATCTTCAAGAGTTCTACCTAATTTATCTTCCAGCAAGTTTAGTGTTTGTTTTTGTATTTATGTCTTTAATGCAGTTGGATTTTACTTTAGTGCGTGGTGAAAGGTACGGGTCTAGTTTTAATCTTTGGCAGGTTGAAATCCAGTATTTCCAACACCATTTATTAAAGAGGCTATCTTTTCTCAAGTGAGGGTGTTTGGCTCCTTTGTCAAGGATGAGGTAGCTGAATATGTCAGGAATTGCATTTTTTTTCTTATTGAGTTTATTAGTACTTTAAGTATACAGTACCATTACATTTGTGTCTTCTAAGCTTTTTAATAAGATGAAGTTCCAATTGTTGATTCATTGTAGTATTTCCCGTACAGTCTGGGTTTTATTCGTGAGATCTGCCTACCTGTATCTTCAAGAGTTCTACCTAATCTCCCTTCCAGTAGGTTTAGTTTATTCACCAGAACAGAGACCATGTGACATCTGGCTCTTCTTCAAGTCAAAATGACCATGAAAAGTCAATGTTTTGAATCAATTCAGGACATTAAGGCAGGTGCAACGGAGCCACTAAAGACACTCACAAGGACTTCCAGATCAGCGTCTGAAAGTGGCAAGGAGGATAGGATAGATGTGTTCAAAGTAAGAGTGAGTGTTTTGAGAGGGATTAACGGCAGTGTATCTCTCACCATAATAATATTTCAATTTGATTCATCTTTATTAGTATATGTTTGAGATACATTACATTTTAATTTAAAATGTCGCCATATTTTCCCATCTGACCTTATGTACAGTACCTTTATTAAGTTAAGGCTGTTCACTTCACTCTTTCAAGCTTAATATTTCAGTAAAAGTGAACCAAAAACACCAACTCTAGGCAATATTCTAAGTGATAAATATGGAAACAGATGAAAATCTCCTTGCTTGGGGTGCATTGTTATGGGCCGAATGTTTACGATCTCCTCAAACTCACATTTAGAAGCACTGGTAGATGTGTGATGGTATTGGAAGGTAGTGCTTGTTAAAGTAATGAGATTTCTCTGGCGTGAACAGTAAAAATGTGACCAAAATGTGTGATAGATCATCTGAAAGAGGAAAAAAAGTTCCAGGGGAAATAAAAGTTCAAGGGGAAAGCATAGTGTGGCAGGTATAGGGGCAAGGCAAGGGAAAGAAAAAAATATGAAAAAAGAAGGAAAAAATGGAAACAAAGTTGTTATAGGGAGGAGTGAAGGAGTGGGAGGAAGGGAAAGGGAATGAGAGAGAAAAAAAAACCAAGAACCAAGATATACCATGTACATGTACAAATTCCCAATGATGAGTATGATGGTAATGTATCAGTACCTTTACTGGAAAAAAGTAAAAATAAAGTAATGAGGTTTCTACGGGGTGATGGGTGAGGAGACTAGGATGGGATTGGTGCCCCTGGGAAGGAAAGGAGTCCGTACCAGGGCTTCCTCTCTCTGCCAAGGGAAGACGCAAGAGACAGATGGCCATGTGTAACCAGTGTGGGGCATTAACATCTGCATCTTCTGCCATCTTGTTCTTGGACTGTCCACCCATGACCATGAGAAATAAACCATCTATAATTTAGTGTTTTAGAATGTTGTTTTTTGTTACTGCACCCTGGCTGACTGAAAAATTCATTCATCCCTGAGTAGAAAACAGTCCATCAACCAGAAAGATAAATGTGGAGGAAATCACGATGCGCTTACTCCGGTAGCAACGGGGGAGAACTATTAACTAAACCACTATTTACTTATTTATTCATTAATCTCACAAAAACTGAAAGCACAGGATAGCCATGCCCTGTTATAGATCCTGACCAGGCAACAGTGCACAAACTAGTGTAAACCCACACAATCAGTGTTCATTCATCCATAAAGAGAAATAGGTGAGCCAGAAGGAAACTAAGTATGGTGGATTCTGTGACGGGCAACTTAACTCTGCTGTCGTGAAAGAGTTTTCACCTCAGCTGTAGGGCGCATGGCTGGCAGACAGCCCTTTTCCAGGACTGCCCCAGGAGTCAAGAGACAGTCTATTCAAGGTCGTTCCTTCTCCCAAGGTCGCAACTACAGACCGATCAGTGCAGGGATCAAGGACCTGGCCCACGTGCCACGTCTTGGAAGAAGGGTAACTGTGCATGCACAGTTCCTCATCAGATCAACCACAGCGACACTGGGAGAGTGTCGCACAGTTCAGTCTGTGCCTTTTCTAATCCTAGTTCCATTCCACCGCTTTTTACATGCAGCGATCCCAGGGCCACTGAAATAAACCTGTGCGTGACAATTTCCGCTTTCAGGGCCTCTTCCCTGCTGTCAGAAGGGCCTAGACTGTTAGTTGCAGATGAACACTGTGGAGAGCATACGCACCACAGAGAAGGGTGGACCAGTTGTTAAAGTGTTGCCACTGTGCAGAGAACAGGAAGGAGAAGCTGCAGGAAGAACTGACATTGGAGCAGAACCCTGGTGTGTTTTCAGCAAAGAGTGGTATGATTCTGCAGAGAAAGAACCGCTTTTGCACTCCTGCCACAAAATCCAATGTGGCCAGATGTATTATTCCTTTGTATTCCTTGCTGGATTTTATTTATGAAGCTCTTTTACTAATTTTTCAGGAACCACAGTAATTTGGGATATACCTTTCTAGTGCTACTCCTGTGTGATTTATGAAATGAGTCAGAGAAAGTCTTCGTCTATACCTT